CAGTACAGTACAGTACCGAGAGCCGTGCTGCCAGTACAGTATATTCCAGTATCGAGAGCTGTACTGGAGAGTGCAGTATTTTTATTCCAGTATCGAAAGCTGTACTAAAGCGTGCAGTATTTTTATTCCAGTATCGAAAGCTGTACTAAAGCGTGCAGTACAGTATATTATGGCCAAAGGTACTGCAATACTGAAAATACTGGCAGTATTGTACTGTACTAAACCTGCCCGTGAAAAGTGTTATGTACAACACCCATTATAACTTTGCTCAGAATGCGAGAACAAAAATCCAACGATGGATTCGTGATCCCCACCCCAAAATTGACCCACCCTAAAATATTCAGATCGATATTACGATTTTTCAAAACCGGGGATATTTTAGCACCATCCCCGGTCTGTGTGTTTTCGCAAATTGGCAAGGGAAAAAGAGAAAAATGCATTGAAACCCGGCCACCACCATCAGGTTTGTTTTTGAAATTTAGCATATCATCATAAGTAGGATATAGTACCATTGTATTATAATTTCAAGGGTTAGGGGGGGATGGTAACGATCCGTCCCCTCCCCCCCAAAATAAATTCGGCTTTACCGCGGAACCCGCCTCAAGTACATCTGCATATGCGTACCGGTGTACCGGCGCACCGGTCCTATTGTTGCTGAACCCCCAAACAAGCTTGCTTGTGGACCAAACTTGGACCAAAGAGGGTCGACTAAATAACAGTATATTGGTGAAATTGAGAGCGAAGCATCTGATTGAGAGCGAGATTGCGCGATGCGCTACAGCTGGACTACTGCTGAGAGGTGGAGCTTGCTGTGTAGCTTGAATTGAAGGGCCAGCCCGTACACAGGTGGCCAGTGGGTACGGTTGTACGGGGGCGTTGTGTATCCTCCGGCCAACCAGGGGTTATTACATGGGATAACGTGGGGGGTTTACAGGCCGAGCGAGCATAACATACCAGGTTATGAAAGCGGTCATGCGCGGATTGGTTTGAATGAAGGAGAAAAGAAAAAACTTTGTGTGAGCCTTCGGATTGGTGTGAATGAGGAGAAAATAAAAAACTATGTGTGAGCCTTCCCCTCCATTGCTACATTGTTTTCAACCCGTATTTATTTGTGTTATAGTTACGCAGTACCTCGCTTGGCATTGTTCTACGTCGGATTGATCGGTACAGGAATCCTAACATGGGGTGGATCGAACCAGCAACATGTGCCTGAATAATATAACTAACTGTTGACCGCTACGCCACATGTTAAAGCCCATGACTGTTTACAAAATTCTATGCTTTTATAGTAGGGGCGGAAACAATGGTGACAACACCACCCACGCGGGCGGTAAGAGCACACTTCTACTATGCGGTCACCCCCACGCTAAAAAAAAGCAGAAACTCCGAGTAAAGTCCTCCATTACGAATCGTTCAATGGCAAGTTTTTGTTCAACTAAGTTTTTATGTTCCACAGCAGCAACAACATATAGTATACGAAGGATAGAAATGAAAAAAAAAAAAGTTACATCTGCAATTGTCGGAAGGCAAAAATATATATTTATATCTATATGAAGTATAGAATTTTTTAACAATGCTGACCGCGCAATTGTTTTCAGCAGAGATCATATTAATATGTATAATACTACTACAAACAACATATTCGCCTGATTGAGAGCGTAGCATCTGATTGAGAGCGAGATTGCGCGATACGCTGTAGCCGGACTACCACTGAGAGGTGGAGCTTGCTGTGTAGCTTGAATTGAAGGGCTAGCCCGTAGCTTCAAGCCGCTACCCTGGTCATCCTGTGGGAGTCTCTCGTTGTGGAGCTACAGCGGGGAGCAGAAGCTACAGCAGAGCCCACCGCCCGACGCGATAC